AATAAAGCATTCATGGTCTAGTCATTTTTTTGTGTGTTTTTTTTTTTTCAGGATATTTATGAACTCTTGAACTTTTATATATTTGATGTGCTTCAATCCTTTGCAGGCCTCTTTTTGATTAGATTATCCTATTTTAGGCCAGTAGGATTCCCTTCAGGTTGGCCTCTTTCTCCTTTTTACCTTGTTGTGTTAGTTTTTGGTATCTTCTTTGCAAAACAGGATGTTCCTGGCTCATATTATCCACTTTCTGTCTCAGACCTGGGATCAGGTCCCTCTCTAAGGAACCTTGGTTCCTACAGGGAGGTAAAGCTCATTGCTAGAGTCGTGAGTATTTTGATTTTTCATTTTAGGCATTTTTATTTCAAAATCGACAAAGTAAACAAACCAAAATTAAATTTTTATTTATTACTCTCAGTTCATAAGTTTGATGCTAAACAGTTACTAACCATAGAGACTTCATTAATTAAATGAGTCAGCCTATAGGAGAAACCTGATGATAAACATACTTTCTAAATCTATTGACAATATTTGTCTTTTTACCAGGGAGGAGGCATCAGATAAGTAAAGGCTTGTTTAACCCCACTGCAGACCACTGCCTGTGTCCATGATGCAGTTCCGATGATTTTGGAAGACAGACAATGGCTTCCTTGTTCCAGGAGCCAAGGTCATGCTATTACTCTCATCGTTCAGTAGCACTGAAGGGGGACTGGAAACCAGTGCTGGCAGATTATTTGAACTTGTGCCCTTGAGTTCGTTAAGATGGGCAGTCCTCTTCCTCACTAGTTACAAACATGTGTTTCTATGTCCATCCCTGTTCTGAACCATTATAAAACATACCAGGTGTAGAGAAATCCTTGCTCCAAATAATTTTAAGATATTTTAGATCTTGCGAATTAAAATCTAATTATATTGGGCCACTTAAATGAATTTACAGTGCGATCTAAAAATAGAATAATTGTAAAAACTTAAATTTCAAATAGAGACATTAATCTTATTTTAAAATTCTGCATTTTCAACAGAAGATTTAAAAAGAGAGAGAGAGAAGGAAAGAGATAGCGGTGTTTTAATGGACTTACAGGCTATTTTCCCTCCTCTCCACCACAGATAACAGAGGTTTGTAACGTGGAGCGGAGAAGGAGATCTGGATGTGCCGCTGGAGTCACTATCTAAAGCACTGTGCTGCTCAGGCCATGGCTCCGCCCAAGGTGGTCTGACAGCCCTCACACCAGCCCCTCCCTTTCCAGGTATTTTGTAAACCTTTTAGGTGGAGCACCCACAGCCCTCCTTACCTGTGCTGTGCCAGGTCACTTAACTTCTCTTCTTCTCAGTCTTATCACCAGCAAAATGAACTAGATGGGTCTTCCCAGCCTAAAAAGTCTGTGAGTTTAGGGGAACTCAGGATAAACAGCATATATGCCATGCAAGATGTGCAGAGGTCACAGCTAATGAGACATGACAGCTGCCTTCTTTGGTGTCTCCTTCCCTGCCTCAAATTAACAGAAAGACTGCTTCCCACCATATCTCTCAAAGGCTTCCATCTTGTTCAGATGTCAAGAGCAATGGCACGGGATTTCAGCTGCAGTGTAGACTCTGCACCTCCTGAACTCCTGTGAACTGCCCACTTTCCTCTAGCCCATAGCGCCCCCTACGTATTCATTACATGTCCCATTGGAGAGATGCAGGCAG